GCAACGGCATTGCATTATATGGTGAGCCGAAAACCAAATGGGATTAAACATGGCATAGCTGATGTACTGATGTCTATATGTCTTCCTGATGTAGTGATCTCTGTATGTCTTGGTATAGTTGGACATTTTCATGGCTTGGGTTCATCCGTTGGCGGGTGGTGCAGAGGAAAAACCAATCATTAGGAGGCATCATTATAGTTGACAAGCTTCCTTACCGATTCTAGTTTTTGCCCCGTGATTATTTTGTCTCGAAGCTTATTTTGGTTATCAACCCATGGACCGTCATCCGAGCTCCACCTACTCAGCATTTCCAACACAACCGTGCGACAGCCGTAAACATCTGACTTGAAAGATATTGTTCCGAAGTTCAGAAATTATTATACTCCATCCGTCTCCAAATAAGTGTCGTTGATGTAGTACAAAGTCGTACTAATTTTGTACTAAATCAGCGACACTTATTTTGGGACGGAGGGAGTAGCATTTAAATATTTTCTGAGCACGACAAGTTAAACAGTTGAAAGCCATATTTTCCATCTTTTGAGGAAGCCGAGCCATCTTTTTAGACATAAGAACAGGATGCATATCACTACCTCCTCTGCCCTCTGGTCATTGTGCAGTTTTTCATTCAAAAAACTCTGAATTTCAGCAGTCCCCACAAAATGAGTCATTTTTCTAGACAGAGGTTTCACTATTGGAGAACTGTGTGCAAAGTCCATTTTTTTGCCCTCTTCTGGATTTTTTCTGTTATGTCTGTATGATGGCCGCTCCATATAAAACTGGAGTATTACATAGGAACTGTGAAGGAACAAAGAGAGCTTAGAGATGATTAAAGGAACTCCCTGCCTTTCCAAACTTAGTGGATTATTGTTAGTACAAAAAGCACTTGTTGATACTAAACATTTGGTGTTTATTAGTGTCTCGAAGTCCCAATTTGCTTTCATACGGTGCATCTCTCTGCTTTCTCCACACATGTGGAAAATTTCAAGTACAATTACTAGAAACAGATTTGCAATGGGAGAAACTGGACAAAACAATAAAATTGACTTATTCGTCTGTTGTAGAGGCTCAGAAGCTGCTTGGAATCAGCTCAAGACCAAGACGTCTTTACTGACGAAAATGTCTTATTCACAATGATGGTTCTGCGGTTCCCGTGCAACAGAGAAGGATGGCCAGAGCCTTGTTATCTTGGGTTCTCTGGCCAATATGTAAAGAATGCAAACTAGGCATCTTAGTATCTCTGGAGTACTGGAGCAGCAACCTTGAGTTAACAGTTGATTAGGTCCTTGAAGTGCCTCCCTCGCTGGTGAATACGGTTACAGGGCTGGGATAGTGTTAGGTTTAGAAGAACCTCATGGGGGAAAGCCCAGGAAATATGGATCAAGATCGAAGATCTGTGTGGCACTGTGACCTTAATCGATGAAAATGATATTTGTGTGTAGCTACTGGACAGATCTGGGCAATTTACAGTTAGGTTATGAACTTTGCAAGCTAAATTTTAATCTGAGTTCCTCCTCCAACTCACATCTTTGGAAGCTAAGAATCTGAATTCTTTGTATTGAAAATGTAGCAAAATCCTTTCACAGTCAGTGGAAGGAAGAATAAACACCTCATCAATTATCAACACTTTTTGGTTATCTGGGATGTTTAAGAAAGAGCAAAAATTTATCAATGAGTGTACATTTTACAGTTTTCTTGTAACGGCTTACAATAGGTTTGAGCTACCTTTTCTCCTTTTGAGGAAATCAAGCTGTACCTAATGTCATAAAAACCAAGTTCGACATGCTGCAGAACATAAAGGCACTTGCGGTAACTAACATATACCAACTGATCGGTTTTTGTTAGTTAGTCCCTTGGACTGCCCATTTACTTCTCTGCTTTATTGGAGCAATGAGAATTTTACAACATGTTAGTAATTTTCAATTTCAACCATGATTACTCAAACCAGATTTGCGCTACAGGTGGAGCTCAAGAGCAATACACGTGGAGCTCAACGGAAGCAAATGAGCTCAAAGGAACATTTTAAAATTATTGAACATTTTTCAGCTGGAATACGTTAAAATCAGAGAAACAGCCGAAATAAAAACAGAGCTGAAGAGCTACACAAAAAAATCTGGGTGCGACAATCCGTGGGCTGCATACTTGGCTGGGCTGTCCATGCCCGCACGAGCCAGGAGCCTTCCTCCTCCGACGCTCAAAGAAAAAGAAAAGGGAAACATTTCTCCACCAACCGTTGCCGGCGGCAGCCCTATCCGCGGCGAAGTCGCCGGTGAAGTGGGCCGTCTGGCTGCAGGGCATTGCCTCCCATTCCTTGTGCCCAGTGCCACATCTTTCCACCGCGCCCCATCCAGCAGCCGCGCCGTCCCTAGTCGCTGGCCTTCTTCGGTTTGACCCCCTCAGTCCTCGTCGCTCGTCGGTGGAGGTAATTAGCCAACTCCCGTGTTAATTACTTTCTCAGGCAGCAATTCGAAGATAAAAGACTCACACATGGGTTCTTCGGTAGGGAGAAGCATGGCAGGTCAAGGATGAGGACGGTGATGAACCACGCGAACAACAGGCGCAGGCGGTTCAATGTAAGCAGCAGCCTCTCCGTTGCAAATTATTTGATGATTTGGTGCAAAGCCATTACATTATATGGTCAGTGGAAAACCAAATGGGATTATGGTCAGTAGCATAACTGATGTAGTGATGTAGTATATGGCTAGCTAATTAACAGTCCAAGAGTAACCGAGTACAGTGTAGTTGGACATTTTCATGGCTTGGGTTCATCGGCTGGCCCAGAAACAGAGCAGATTGCCTACCAGTCATTGTTAGACTTGGCAAATTTACTCACTGATTCCAGTTCTTGTCCAGTTATTAACTTTTTCTCACAAAGCTCATTTTGCCTATCAAACCATGGGCCATCATCTGAGTTCCTCCTCCTGCTCACCATTCCCAACACAAGCATATGCCCTGCTGTTATTAACATCTGACTTGTAGTATAGTTTTCCGAAGTTCAGAAAAATATTTTTGTTCTGGTGAGGCATTGCACTGTTACTGTAGCTGCAGTCAGTGTGATTGTGATGATTCCCCACAAAAAATAAGAAATGTGATTGTGATGATGCTTTCATCCCTAGCACACAGTTTTGTAAGCCCCAAACCTTGAATATTTAGATTGAAATTATAGAAAAACCATCTAGCTGCCAACAGAACAAAAAAAATGCTTCCTTTGTTTACATTTAGCAAATTCCTATTTATATAGCCTTTAAAAATTTCTGAGTACGACTGGTTGAACAATTGAATGCCATATTTTCCATCTTCTGAGGAAACCGAGCAATCTTTTTAGACACAGGAACTTCATAGACATCACTACCTCCTCTGCCCTCTGGTCACCATTGTATACCAAATATCTCATTGTGCAGATTTTTTTTTCTTCAAAAAACTCTGAATTTCAGCAGTCCCCACAAAACAGCCATTTTTCTGAAACAGAAGTTCTACTATTGCAGAAGTGTGTGTAAAGTACATTTTTTCCCCTCTTCTCAAAAGAAGAAATTTTGTTATATCTGAATGATGGCCACTCCATATGAAACTGGAGTACTACATAGGATCTCTGAAGCCACAAAGAGAGCTTAGAGATCAATAAAGGAACTTCCTGCCTTCCCAAACCTAGTGGATCATTGTAAGGACAAAATTTTAAACATGCTATTAATTTTAAGTACAATAACTAGAAACAGATTTCCATTGGAAGAAACTGGACAGAACAATGAAATTTAGTTATTCATATGTTGCAGAGGCTCAGAGGCTGCTTGGAATCTGCTCAAGACCTGGATGTATTTACTAACCAAAATGTCTTATTCACCATGGCTCTGATTCCTGTTCAACAGAGAAGGATGGCCAGAGCCTCACTATCTTGGGCTCTCTGGTCAATATCTAAAGAATGCGGTCTAGGCATCTTAATATATCTGCAGCACTAAAGCAACAACATCGACTTCACATTGATCAGGTCCTTGAAGTGCCTCCCTCGTGGCGAATACAATTACAGGGCTGGGATAGTGTTAGGGTTAGAAGAACCTTCTGGGGGGAGCCCAGGAAATATGGATCAATATCCAGGATCTGTGTGACACTGAATTGATGAAAATGATATATGGGTGTATTTACTGGACAAATCTAGGAAATTTACAGCTAACTTCTTACATTTGCAAGCTGAGTCTCAATCTGAGTTGCTCTTCAATATGAGCTCCTATTCACAATTTAACTAAATATCTGAAATCTTTGGATTGAACATGTAGCAAAATCCTCCCAGTCATTGGAAAAAAAAAGGGCAACCTGGTGCATGTAGCTCCCGCTTGCACAGGGTCCAGGGAAGGGTCCGACCACTTTGGGTCTATAGTACGCAGCCTTTCCCTACATTTCTGTAAGAGGCTGTTTCCAGGACTTGAACCCATGACCTCATGGTCACAAGGCAGCAGCTTTACCACTGCGCCAAGGCTCCCCTTCCCTCCCAGTCATTGGAAACAAGAAAAAATACATATCTCATCTATTATCAACACTTTAGGTTATCTGGAGTGTTAAAAAGGGCAAACAATATCAATACATGTAGCATTTTACAGTTTTCTCAAAACGGCTTAGAATAGGTTTGAGCCATCTTTTATCGTTTTGAGGAAATCAAGCCGTACCTAGCGTCATAAAAAGGCAGTGGAAATGCTGCAGAACATAAAGGAACTTGTAGTAACTAACATACCAACTGATTGATGTCAATTAGTTAGTCCCTCAGATTGCCAATTTGCTTTTACTCTGCATTTCTCTGCTTTATTGGAGCTATGAGAAGTTTAAAACTTGTTATTAATTTCAACCATGATAGCTCAAAGCAGATTTGTGTTACAAGGAAAACCTGAACAAAACAATACAAATAAGTTCATCTGATTGTAATAATTTGAGAAAATACAGCAGTCCATAGCTTTGCTTTACATAAGAGAATCCCCTACTTACAATCTAATTGGCTACCTTGTCAGGATTGTCTCGTTTCACCTAGGGCCTGATACATCTGAGGCTAGAGGTGGAGCTGAAGACCTCACATTTCCAGCACTACCAAAATTTGCTGAATTCACAACAAAGTTATGATCTATGTTGATGTCTATATTCATGGCACCTTCCAATACTTTTACTACCTCAGACATTTTAGGCCTTCTTTTGCAATCAATCTGCAAGCACCACATTGCAAGCATGATCATCTGAATTACATCTTGCTTGTGTGCTTGCATGTCGGTGCTGTTATTGTCAATCAAATCTACCAACCGATCACTCTTCACCTTTTCCTCCAATAGGGTAATGAGATGAATGCTCTCCTCTGACCGGGAAGTGTCAAGGTTCTTTCTTCCACTCATGATTTCCATGACCACAACGCCAAAGCTATAGACATCTGCCTTTTCCGTGATCTGTGATGTCAACCATTCAGGAGCTAAATACCCAGGTGTGCCTCTCATTCTAGTAACCACTTGGCTCATATCCCTGTCAATGAGCTTGCATAGTCCAAAATCAGAAAGTTTAGCATTGAAGTTGTCATCTAAGAGGATGTTGTGTGGTTTGACATCCAAATGAGCAATTCGTTTTGTGCACTCCTCGTGAAGATACGTGAGGCCCTTAGCTATATGAGTGATAATCTTGCACCGTGTGCTCCAATGTAGAGGAGGAGCATCATTGTCATGTCGACAATAGATCCATCTGTCCAAGGATCCTTTGGGCATGTACTCATATACCAAGAGCCTATGGGATTTCTCTGCACAGAAGCCAATCAATCTCACCAGGTTAATGTGATGAATGCTGCCAATTGTCTGAACCTCTGCCGAAAATTCTGTTTTGCCTTGACCAGATCGATCCAAACGTTTTACCGCAATCCTTTCATCAGCAAATTGACCCTTGAAAACAGACCCAAATCCTCCTTCCCCGAGCTTGTCTTTGAACTGCTCGGTTGCTGCTTTTAGCTGTTGAAATGTGAACCTCATTGGTGTTCCTTGTAGCTCCCCAAACTCTTCCTCTTGTTCCATCCCATGCTGCCATTGTGTTCTTCGTTTACGTATGAAGAAACTGACGAGGAACAAGATGGTGAAGAAAATGAAGCCACCTACCGGAGCTAGAATTGCGACAACTCTTCTTACAAAGGGGGGGTTTGGTTTCATGCTTGTTGGCCCAATAGCTGCAGGCAGAGTACTTGGGGTCGGTGGTGTTACCTCGGCCGGGGGCGCGGGCAGGGGACTGTCAGCTGTAGGTGACAGTGCATTAATCTGGGGACTTTCAGCTGTAGGCGTCAGTGCTTGATTAATCTGGGGACTTTGAGTTGTAGGCGATAGTGTGTGATTAATCAGGGGACAGAAAACAACCTGGTAGTTGGTCCCCGACGGGCAATTGAAAGTTCTGGTGGAACCATCGTCGGGGTAGCTGTAGGCATCTGGGCACATCCGCTTAAAGAATTTCGAATAATTTGTGGGGCTGCTTATTGTGCTTCCATTCAAGCAGTATATGTCCTGCTTGAACACTGTGCACGCGTTGTTACAACCCCCCGGAGCCTTCAGGTCGCCTGGGCACTGTGATGTGATGTTGGCTGCGCAGCGCAGCCCCTTGCCGCACCCTGACCTTCCCCGAACCAGCACCGGCAGTAACTCCATGGGCACATTGAAGCCGTCGAGGAGGGAGATGTCGAAGAAGTCATTCGTTTGGTCTTGGCCAAGCGTGAATTCGCCCAGCGTGTTGGGCGGTTGACCATTCCCCTTACAAACGAGCAAGCCGCCGCAACCGCCAGTTTGGCATGACCCAATGCCTTCGCCATGGAATGAACAGTCTGTGCGTGCCCAGATGCGCCCTCCCATGGTGCCAGCGGGAACGTCCAGCAGCCACGTCTCCCCCGGATCGAGCTTCACGCCACCTCCAACTGGAATAGCGGCTGGCCACACGGTGTAGGAGCATCGGTTGATGATACTGAATATGGTGGCCTCGCTGGTGGCAGCGAGGAGAAGGAGAGGTAGGAGACAGAGAGCCGAAGAGGTACTCGCCGGTGCCATTTGTTGTTTTTTCTGCTTGCTCCCGTTAACTTGAATCAGAGTCTGAGTTTCCTAGTGCTATTGCAAACTTGAGTCAGAGTCTGAGTGACAGCTAACAGGATGGAAGAGTGGTAGGGGATTGCAAAGTTGAATCAGAGTCAAAGTTGACCGCATCTGTGTGTTGAATAATTCAATGGTCAGCATAAAAACAGCCTAACATACTCTGTAGTGATGACTGTTTGATAGGACCAGACTTGCTTGTTTGCTTGTTTAGTCCCTTGCAAATTGTACCTGTACTGAGTCTTACCCCAAAAAGAAGGAATCTGTATATGAGCATAATGTATTGTTTGATTAATTTTGTTTCCTAACAAAATTCTTTAAGCTGATGTAGACTGAGATTTTGTTTTATGTTTGCCTTTCGTGAAATCGTTAGATTGCACATCTTAATTTGTTCATTTCTGATCTGCTGTCATGATTTTTTTTTCGCTACAGTCAGACCCAGAATCTTGAGTCAGCAACCATCTTGGTGGTTGGGGGCAAGCTGAAGTTGACAGCGGATGTCAGCTGCCTGGAAGCAGCTGGAGGTCTCCTTCACTACTCTCTGGTTTGCGTGCAAACGAGAGTGGCGAAAACCTTGTGATCTTTGCGAAAATCTCTGTTGATTGGTAGCTTTCTTTTAACACATTTTGTGGCGACCGATCCTAAGGTTGCATGACTTGTTTGGTTGCGCTGTTGGTAGAATTGAATCTCGCAGCTGGTATTAGCTGATTGTAATTCAATTTCCGAGTACTGGTATGTACTACTACTGCCTAGTCTCTTACAAATTAATTGAAGTTCTAGTTCTGTTCATTTTTTAGCCTGGTACTACTGTCAAGAGGGGAAAACCATCATGCATGGTTTATTTTGGAATTATTAGTAAACAGTAAGCATTGCATTAACCTTACCATCCATAGGACAGACGTCAGCTTGACCAAGATTTGATCTTCAAAGTACTCTCAAGCTTGTGCCGTACGTGTTCTACTTGTACGTATGGTCTGGGGAAAAGCTCCGTGGTTTGCTGAAAAAGGGTTTCCCCCCGCTTTGTATACAAAGCAACCAACCGGATCATACAGGGATAGGTGCTGGGGCGGAAGCAGCACAGTCACGCCCAAAAGAAACAACAGAGAAAGAGCAAAAGAAACAAATGCCGACAACGGCGGATCAACAAAAACGAAGAAGCCTCGCGATCGCTAGGCCCACCGGTCTTATCCACTAGGCTCCAAGACTCCGAAGCACCGGCACCAATCAACACCTCCAAGAAGGATCGCGACGATGACGACGCTGCTGCCAAGGGTTTCCCCCGGTACACGACGAGGCGATAGGAAGAGTAGCCCCCGACGCCCTCCCGGAAGGTCAGGCGGCACCCACAGGCGCCACCGCGCCGGGGTCGGCCACGCCGACAGGGGTTTCCCCCGATCCCAACCCGCACCTCGGGCGCTCCGGATCCCGCCACCAAACCAACCACCACCCTACGCCAACGCAGTCATGAGGCCTCCACGCCGTCTCACCACGGCACCGCGAAGTGAGAACAGCACGACGAAGAATCAGAGCCGGGACTAGGCATCAGCACCATCGGCACGCGGGAGGGCCCCACCTCCACCATCAGCGACAGTAGCCGTTCGGACGCAATAGCAGGAGCACACCAGGCCCGTAGGCCCACAGGCCCGGCCGAGCCCTCGTGGGCCCGTAAAGCTCCCGCCTTCGCGCTGCTGCCGGCACGCCATCGACGCCGACGCCCCAAGTCCGAGCCGCTCCTCCTCCTCACCGCGCCGCAGACAACGAGACCATGCCGGGGGGCCGGCCCCCAGGGGCCCAGATGGGGCCCGACGTGCCCGGATCTGGGCCGGGGGCGCGTCGACGGCCACCCGGCACCACCACGCCGCCCCGCCGCCAAGGAGCGGCGCCGTCACCACGCCGGCCGCCGGCCGCCACCGCAGGGCCGCCGGACCGCAGCCAAGCC